CTTTAGCATCATTTGTCTAACTTAAGGGTTGAACTGAACGCTACTGAGGAAGATAATACGTGTTCAGTCACACTACACTGGCTAAGTTTAATTTCTGCATTTTCCCATAATGTAGTGAAGTCTGCTCATCTGCTTTTGCTTCATTCAATTTCAGTTTTCAAACTGAATGGTAAATATAGCAGAAGCTCAATGGGTGCCAGAGCCCCCAGAGGTGTGAGCAAGGCGACTAAGTGCCACGGGAATGAAGGAGCTGTGGGCAACTGGTTCCTCCTGAGGGGCTGACAGATGCTGATGCTGACAGATCGAGAGAGTGATTATTCAGAGCTTAGAAGATGAACTAGTGCTTGTGTTAGCTGGCTCCCTTTGCAGCAGAATCACTCCCAATCACACCTCCATAAATCAGGCACTCACACCCTGGCACAGTTTGAAAACAGCACTACTGAGCAAAGGTGGTCATGCCGATGAAAGGGTGTTTATCATGAAAGAGTGCCACTAGTGACCACAAAGGCTGTATGCTTACTTGGAAGAAACATGGGTGCTTGTGGCCCTGAACATCTGTAACCTTAATTTTGACTAACTATTCAAATTGTATTTCTGTAACTTCTGGACTCTTGGCAGCTTTGACTGAAGTCTAAAGGTCCCAAAGTGTAAGTAGTGAGTAAAGTAAGTAGTGCTGTGACAGAAACAACCACAGCCCCTCTCCAATAAACCTCTGCTCAATCCCAAATCATTCTGGTATCTCCAATGAGACTGGTATAAAAAGGCAAATAAACAAGCCAAACTGCACGTCTAAAGAAGCACAGACGGTGCAAACTTTTTTCACTTTGAAATATGCAGAAAACATTCAAATTACATTTAATAACCTCTATGTGTTTACTGAACCAGACACAAACGGTAAGGTAATTGCACCTCTTTACATGAAAATGTATATACAACCCCATATGTTTATTTCCATCTAAAATGCTGCAATTAGCTTTTTTTTGAGTTTTTAGCCAAAACAGGAATTCATTTATTCATCCTTGCAGTGTCAAAATCTCACTGTAAATTAAAGTTGCATAATATGTTAAGTTTAAATGCTCTGTGTGACGTGCAGTGGCCGATACGTGATGTGGTTCTTGGAGTGGGTCTGTTGGAAGATTAAAACACTCTGTCATTCTTTTTTTTTAATCAAATTCTGAAGCAATTACTGGGTCTGTCTTTGTTTCTCAATATGCCCCCGTGCGTTTTTTTTCACTGTTTAACGGCAAAGAGAAAGAAACTTTTATTTTGAAGAGTTCTGTGCAAACATAATTGAGCAAATAGCCAAAGAGAGCCTATAGGACACTCAAGTCCAACATACCCAACACTTTCTCACTCCCAAAGCGTAACATTTTACGCTAGGTGACAAATCGTCAACATATTACGTTTTCGGCTACCCACCACGTTCCTAAATGACGACCTCGGAAAAATGAGGAAATATGAGAACCGTATGGACTTAATCTACACATGTTCGCTCTTTTTCTTCAAATCGCTTAGAAACACGTTATTTAACATAATTAAAGTCCTGGTTAACCTCAGGAAAAAGGTTATGGTTAGGGCTAGGGATAAGGTTAGGTTTAGGGCTGGAATACAGGGCTGGAACGTCTATAACCCGCCGCGTACCATAAGAACGCCGAAGGTCTCCTTTCGCGTTCCTCAGGAACGCCGCGGGACGTGACAAAACGTCGGCATGTTACGCCTCGGGAGTGAGAACGGGCTCACATACCAATGAAATACAACATCTCATTTGTTTTCTTGTTTATTTTTGTGTTTATGTTTTGATTTTTTGGGAACAAGTGAAAAGAAATGCCCTTTCTTGTGTTTGATTTTTTTTATCTTAACAAAAAGAACCAAAATAAAGTGTTAGAAGAAACAAGCAAACAACAAAAAGAAACATGGTATCACAGTCGACTGTATTTCTACCTTTAGAGCTTCAGCAGCAGCAGCAGCAGCATTTTCAGTTTGACACATTGTACTTTTGATGCAAATATGATCTATGCTCTTTGATCATAATAATATATTAGTGACAGTCTCATTAGCATCACAGTGCCAGGACAAAGAAACTCAACATTGTGCTTCAATGAACTGTGAATAAAAATGTGTACTTTAGACTATTCCTCCTTTAAGCAAACAAACAAAGGAGCCTTAAAATGCTAGCTATAGGCCAGGAAGCAAAGTGTTAACAACAGATTTGCTCTGGCATAAAAAGACATAAAACAGTTTGAACAGGTTGTCATTCGAAAGCAATTTGGGAAGCAGTAGGATCTCATTATTACATCAATTTAATTCCAATTAGAAGAAATGAATCAAATTATCTTTTTCATAGCATGTGGCAAAATAACTAAGAACATGACTGACGAAGATAATCACATCATATCAGGAAATTGATTTATGTCTACTTCTTTTAATGATGAGGACAAAAAGGTTAAAAATGTATTTAAGATTTGTTGGGCTTGGTATTCAAAACTTAACATTTTATAAAAACTGACAATCGGCTACTGTTTTTGTTGACACATAATCTATATATTTGTTACATTTAAATACAAATATCACTGCATTATTTGTAACTAAAACCCCAGATGAAGAAAATAACCCCAGCATCTGATACAACTCTTTTTGGTGATATTCATCAATATATTTGTCACATATTTAACTACAAATATGATTGGCTCATTAATTTTTTTTAAAAAAAGTCCTATTTGAATAAAATGATGAGGGTCTGATGCAGCTCTAGCAAAATTAATAGCCTTAATATCCAAAAGGAAATCTCCGCGTATGATTGCGTGAAATATGTTCCTCTGAAACAGTGCAGTAGTCTATAAATGAATTGCTGCCTTTGAAGCTAACCAACGTTAAGATCACTTAAAATATCATGCTTTCATAAATAAATAAGTTAATAACTAAAATGTTACAGAGTTCATGTCACTTTCATAACTGCCATCTGTCCTGTATAATCTGTTCTGTTTTTGTTCCAACACATAAACCTGGCCTTAGATGAAGGTTTGTACTTTTCATCAAAACAGAAGTAGTCTGAGGTCAATTGAGAGGAGAATTTAAGCTACAATTTGAAGCTGAGTGATTTTTTTACAATGGAAAAAGGTATCTACAATTTTGCTCCCTCTCTGACCTCAAAGTATTTTCCACCATTTATTGAAAAGGGAAACGACTTCAAGCACAAACAATGTTCCAAAGTAGTGACTGTCGATTGCAGTTTGGCTTTAGGTCCCAGAAGTGAACCACATCACTACAAATAGGATGAATGTCTATAAATAAAGTTTCTATTCTATGTCCTAATTTAATTTACAGGAATGAGCATTTTTATGCGGATTAATTTACGTGGCTTCTCAGTTACCTTAGCCTCCAAACACACGACTAAGCAAAACATTCAAATCATTTTTGCTCACGATGTATATTTCAAAGTTTGCAATGTAAATGGAATTAAAGAGCACTGTTATACTTGAATGAATGTGAGTGCAAACCAGGGTGTACCCTGCCTCTCTCCCTGTGGTAGCTGGGATGGACTCCAGCACCCCTGCAACCCTGAATTGGATAAGGGAAAGAAAATGGATGGGTTAGATTGCAGAATACCAAACAGTTTTACAATATATAAGAAAGAAAAATTCACCTCTTGTTTGAAGTTTTTGGAAACACATCTTTGAGGCCAATTTCATCAACAGACAGAAATTTTTGAAATGACCGTAATATAACAGAGCATGCAAAAGGTTAAAATGATGTAGAAATGCATTAAAAAAAAGGAGAATTCAAATCAAGAGCCAATTTTGGATATTATTTTGATGAGCCATTATGTTAGATTAATAAAGACTTCATAGGTGAATTGTGAAGTGGAGTTGTAGAGGGTTCAGTCAAATACGGCACTGTCCCCAAGGAGAGAGTCGGTTAACTCTCTTTTGGCATTTCTAAAATGATTGGGGATTTAAGATACACTTATTCCTTAGCTAATTAACAAGAAACTGAAAAAGTCCCGACACAGGTTAGACACCCTAGTCCTCTGGATTAATGTCTTAGCTTTGAGCCACTCCCCTAACACACCTATCTCTCTCTAGCTTTTTGGGTTATAGTTACCTGATGTGAACCAAAGAATTTCTGTGTTCACAACAACAAGGGTCTTATTTATATTATTATTATCTATTATTATATTATATCTATTATTTATATTTATTTGTGTGCCTCTGAATTTACACCCATTATTTGCCACCATCCCTTAACGTGAGTAAAGAGGTCATTGCCATTTCACATAGTTCTTTGAAAGCAGGTGACTCAGAACTTCTGAGACAAAAATATCTGACTGGGTGTTTGTGAGCTGACCCTTTTGAGTGATCAATATTACATTTCCTTAAGTATTAAGCAGAAATTTCTTTCCTAAATGTTGCTAGCACTGGTTAATTGATTGACATATTGTGACAATTATTGTTTGTTAAACAAGTTCAAAAGCATCTAATTTATCATTTTTGTTTGAAAGATCTCTTAAAATCACCATTGTACACCATTTCACCTTTGCAGACATTACATTTAAGCATTTGCATGCTTTTACTGTTAAAGGAGAGGCTTTGTTGTAATGAAGTAATAATACAAATTATAATAATGATAATAACGGCCCGCAGAATTCAAGTTAATAGCATATCTTATCATAATACCCAAGTGAACTCCTAACCATACTATACATGACCAAAAATATTGATCAGTTTGAGCTCAAGAACCTAAAAATTAATTTAATCCTTTGTGACCAAGAAACTGATCTTGTATTGTCTTTATATTGATGTCCGCCACTGGTTTGATTACTTTGTGTTCCTTTGTTCCTTTTTTCCTCAGTTCATGAATAAAGCAATCATGGAGGTTAAGTGAATGCCCTTGAATTTTGCTTGATTGCAAGCTGCTAGATTGCTGCAATTTAAATCATTTCCCCCCTAAAGCTTCAGTTTTTAATGAAAATGCCCTCTCTGTGTGTTTTTTGTTTGCTCCAGGCCAGTGGGGTCAGTGTACCGGTGAGGAGTGTGGCTCTGGTGGGGTTCAGACAAGGACAATATGGTGCATCCACATGGAGGGCTGGACCACGCATCACTCCCACTGCCATCACATGGAGAAACCAGAAAGCCAGAGACAGTGTTTTAAAGTCTGCGACTGGCACCAGGATCTCTTCGAGTGGGAGGCGTCAGAGTGGGGGAGCTGTGTTCTTGTTCCTTTCTTTTCCAATGAGCTCAAATTGAGGGCAACTGAGTGCATTACAGCACAGCATGGGATCCAGAGGCGCAAAGTCTACTGCGTACGCACCTCAAATCGAACCACAGTCAGTTCGAGGATATGTGAATTCTTTTCCCAAAAACCACCTGTGGAGCAGGCATGCCTTGTCCCCTGCCCCCAGGACTGTGTGGTTTCAGACTTCAACTCTTGGTCAAGTTGCAGCAAAACCTGCGGTGCTGGCCTGCAGCATCGGACTCGACATGTTCTGGCCACATCAATGTATGGAGGGGCAAACTGCCCCAACCTAACTGAGACCAGGACTTGTTCCAGCCATGTTGACTGCCCGGCTGGGGAGGACGAGTACCAGTACAGCCTTAAAGTAGGGGCCTGGAGTGAGTGCCGAATGCCCCATCATAAGGATGCCCTATTAAGTGGAAGGACCACAGTGGACTTCAGCACTATGTCCAACGAGAACAACACAGCCACGCTGCACACACTAGCGTCTCACCAGCATTTCCATCACACCCACCACCACCTTGCTCATGCGCACATTAAGTACCCCGCGTCGTGGGAACTAGAGGTGGGATACCAGACACGACATGTTCGCTGCACAAGAAGCGATGGCAAAAATGCTATGCTGAGGTAAGCAACATGCTTCAAACCATAAAGAATAGGAAAATCATCTTAATATGGTATATTATAAGGAATACTTATGCCTTTTTCAGTCATTATGCCCCCAAAGTGGCCACCCTACCCCTTCACAACTCTTCAATGCAAAATTCCATCAGTTACATGATCGTTTAAACTTTTCTTGGTAGATTTCTTACTGTACTTTAAATCTTCAGGTCCCCGGCACTGTGCTGCATTCAAATCTATAACATTTTCTTTGCCATCCTTCACAGTTGGTTTAAAAATGTTCTTTTTGAAAGCTGTCTTTGGTCTGCCCCAAACACATCTACTTTTACCACCGTCAAAAAGTTGTATGCTGGATTTGTCTTTCCAGAGTACATTATTTAATCCCCCACTGCAAATTTATCTGACAGTATACACTTACAGTTTGTTCATCCTAGAATAAAATGCGGGCTTTACTGGAAACTGTTTTTCAGATGCACTGCTCTAAGGCTGACATTGCTGGGGAAATCAATCCTGGAAAAATTGGCAGTTCTTTGAAATCAACCATACATGTAAAAAATTTTGCTTTTTGTTTCTTTTCCCCACTGGGATCCACAAACCCATTTTTCCCTCTGTCAGACCACATACCTCAATGGTATAGAAAGACTGATTCCACCTGTTACCCCCTAAGGACATTCTAATAATTGGCGCCAAATAGAACCCTGGATTCTAATTTTCTGGATTTCAAGGTGTGATAAATGTTGTGGTGCACCTGATTTGTTCTCATATGAAAACAGCAGTGCTGTATAATCTGTCTTTCTTCTTGTATGTTTTTTTTTTTGTACTGTATCCAAGCGGAAATGTTTGCAGGTTTAATAATTCTCTTTCATCAGTTTAGTTTTCCTCTGATGAAGCGTGTGGAGAGTTTTCAAAATTATAGGAGCTGAATGTTGTTGTTGTCTGTCAGGCAAAATAATCCTAATGGACACTATTGTCGATTTTTTTTAATAAAAGAGAGGAATAATCAATGCTCACCACCTCTCATGAGGTGTATTCAGTGAAATAAAATGGTTTTTATTGATGGTGGTTATTTATTCAATTATTACTAGATTATATGAGGGCGGCTGTTTGACCAGCATTTCAGCAAGGAAGGGAGGCATTATTGTGTTAAATGTCAAGTGTTGCCCCCCTTCCACTCTCTGCTGTTAGAGCTAACCTTGGTATTTGGATTTGATAAGAATGGATTTTTCTACACGTACTTGCGCACAAAGCAAAAAGCAGAGCACACACAAATGCACACCTACACATGCTGTGTCTCACACACACATACACAAATACACAGTAACAAACAACATTCTGTCTTGTGCTATTTTGTTTTGCTTTGTTTTTCTCATACAGAAAGAAAATCATTGCATGTATATTACATTGATTAAATGCCACCATACCATTTTCTTGGTGTAAAGTGTCATTATTAGCTGGCTGTTAAAATCCATTTCTGACTGCCATCATTGTTTCAGAGACCACATTTCAATCATGTTGTTTCAATTGAGCCTTTTTATTGCTCCATATTACTTTTTTATTTATAATAAGGCATACTGCATTGAAGTTGTACAGCATTTAATTGTCATATCAATTTTCTTGTGATTGCTCTTGCTTGTTGCCATTTTGGACAGAGTAGTTTAAAAGTCGTTTATCTTGCCACAGATCTCTTTTCACTGACATGTTTTTTTGTCCTGTGGTTTGAAAAAAGGATTTTATTTTGCATTGCTCGATTAGCACTTATTTTATCTAAGGAGGTGTGGCGCTTTTGAAATAGATTTCCCATGTGTATTGTGCTTCATTTTACTCTACTTACAGCCTCATTACAAGGAGAAAGTCTAAAAATTGTCTTGTATCTCAATAACCTGACTAATTCAACTTCCAAGATTAGCCAACAAAAACTGTAATTGGATGAGAAAACCCATGCTTTTGGTTTGGGATTAGCCTATTAAATGGCCATAGTCTGGTTATCGTGGCTAAGGATATGGCTAATTTAGGCCTACCACCACCACCTAGATGGTTCACTGGGTTATGACTTCATTTATGGGGTCATTATACAGTAGTGAAAAAGATCACACATGAGCTTTTGCTGTTAGAGCTTTTTTCTGATAGAACAACAAAAGTCAATTCTTGGCAGTCCCAGATTTACTACTGGTACAAGTTGACTGTACTTTCCCCCAGGAGATCAGTGTTTGTGCCATGTGATATTGTTGTTGTTTTTTAAACTCTCATTTCCATTTATTTCCATGTCACTCTTTTAGTTTTTGTCACACAAAAAACTATCGTGCAGAGGACGTATGGGTCAGTTACATGGTTTGGCACTATAGTGGGTTGGACAGCAGCAGCAGCAGCAGTTTAATGGGATAATAGCATTAAAATCATGACTAATGACTTGTGCTTGGTTAACATCTCTGAGTGAGCTCTTTGTGGCACTTGTGTAAAAGATTGACTTTGTCTTGAGATCTGTGTTAACAGGATGTACTTTAAATTCTTGAGTGGAAGAAGTAAAGGTCATTTATTCAACAACAAATCAACATAACCACTTGCTAATAGGGTCTCATACCTCTCCATCGGCAAATCCAATTAAAACCCAACAACATCTATTTATAGCTTGCTTTGTGTACAACTGCACTCTCAAACTTTAAAGGGGTCACAAAGATATCGTGTTATGAAATAAAATTTCCTTAACATGACAGTAATTTACTCTCCTCAATCTGCAGCCTCTGTACGAAGGACAAATCCCCACTGACCTTCCAAACATGCGTGATCCCCAAAGACTGTCAGACATCCGATTGGTCATCGTGGAGCCCCTGCTCTAAGACCTGCCGGTCCACCGACCTATCCCCTGGCTACCGCCTCCGGTCACGGATCATGACTCAGATCCCAGTTGGCGGGGGGAAGCGATGTCCTGCCCTTGAGGAAAAAGAAGCTTGCAATATCATAGGCGATTTACTTCCAAACTGCCCCAGGTAATTTTTTATTTATTTATTTATTTTACAGAGATCATCTTTATTGCTTCTTAAGGCCACAATCTTCAAATGAACGTTCTTTTCATTTGCAGTTTCCCCAACGCACGACAAACTCGAGGACCAAATAAGGGTTTTTAATTTGCGTTCTTTGAACAAATTCACCTTAATAATTATGAGAGAAAGCCTAGAGGTTAAAATATTTATGACTTTACTATTGAATTGATTTGTGCACACTATTTTTTTTTAGCATCATTTTAATTATCTTGTGGCAGCCACAATAATCTTGTGTACTGTAGGGAGTTCCTGACCCAAAAGACATGACATGATAAAAAGAGGGCTTGACAGAATGCCATTGTATTGGGGCATTTGGGTTACGATAGGATTTAGCTAATATAACATGCACACAACAAAGTAGTCAATGGAGAATTACTTTCCCTGCTGGTAGATTTTGTTTTATTTGCTGAATCTACACTGAGTGCCTGAAAGCAGAGGATTTACATGATTAGGGAAAACTCATTACGGAAATTAAGCATTTGATAGATTACTACAGGCTGTTGTTCTGGTAAACTCCTCAAATATTATTGCTTTCTGCATCACTGCATTTTTCATAGATGAAACCAAACATTTGTTTAGAAGTTTTGAAATCAAAATAATCACCCCCCCCACACCCCCACACCCCATTCTTCTGACATACTGTGAGAGATGCTTTTGCCAGAGACTGCTCTCACTAATTTGTCTTTTGCTTTGTGTGACTCTTTGAAAGCAACTGGCACGGCTTTGTGTATACCGAGGCTTTATCCTTCTTAAGTACGATCATTTATCAATTTATTTCTTAATGGATTACAACTTTGTTTTTGAAAATACACAAACAAGTGTTGACTTTTTGTAATACATATCAAACAGTGGCTCCATCACTGATTCAATTTAACAGCTTTTAACTCATTAACATTGCAAATATAACTAATTAGCATCCTTGCATGCTCTGTTAGGTATGTGTGGAGGACCACTGACTGGGGCGAATGTCGGATTCTACCCTTACTGAGCCAGCAGAACCGGAGACTGGCAAACATCAGCCTTTTATGTGGAGGGGGCATCCAGACCAGGAAGACCTACTGTGTTCAAGTCCCTGATGCCTCAGCACCACATCACAGAAAGGAGGGTAAGGGGAAAAATACTTTTATTTCAGTTGACCTTGAGCTTGCTGGAAAAACACAGTGACTCAAGAGATGCACCATAAATAATTTTCCATGGTTTGTTTGTGGTTTACATTATTAAAGTGAAGCAGAAAAATACAAACCAAATTCCCACAATATTTGGATGCTGTTTTAAATGTAAATTAAAATGTAAATTAAAAAAAATGTAAATAAAACCTTTAAACAATAGTCTGTAAATATCTGGGAGCCAAGAAAACCTGTTGCTGGACTTTAAGAAGAGGAATGTTGCCCTTGTCTTGCCTGATAAAAGATTCTAGGTGCTCAACAGTCCTGGGTGTTTGCTGTCATATTCTGCACTCCATAATACATCAAGTGTTTTCAGTTGGGGAAAGGTGTGTACTGCAGGCACCAGGAGTCTTCTGCTACAAAGCTATGCTTTTCCAGTAGCTACAAAACATGGTTTAGCATCGTCTTCCTGAAATATGCAAGGGTCATCCTTGAAAAAAGGAGCGTATGTAGCTGTAAAACCAGCATATGCCTTTAAGCATTGATGTGAAAGGTACGGGGGTTCGTCTGAATTTACGAAGGTGCACTGATGGACCCCCATACTATCAAAGATGCAGGCTTTTTCAGTGAGCACTGATAACAAGCTCGTCACTGCCTCTCCTCTTTAGTTCAGAGGGCACGACATCCATATTTTACAGAAAGTACTTCAAATTTCAATTCTGACCACAGAAGAGTTTTCCACTTCCCCTCGGTCCATTTTAAATGAGCTTTGGCCCAGACAGCATGGTGGCATTTATGAATCACGTTCACATGTGGCTTCTTCTTTGCGTGATAGAGCTTTAGCCTGCATTTGTGGATGGCACGCTGAACTGCACTCACAGACAATGATTTCTGAAGTGTTCTTGAGCCCATGCAGTGATTTCCATGACGCAATTATGACTGCTTTTAGTACAGCAAGGCCTGAGAGCCATAGGATCATGGGCAACCAGTGTGGATTCACAGCCTTCTCTCTTGATTTCTCCAGATTCTCTAAATGTTTTGATGATATTATGTACTGTAAATGATGGCATATCCACAATTTGATGTGTCTTAAATTGTTCCAAAATTTACACAAACAGTTTTTTTGCACATTGTTGAAGCTCTAGTCATCTCTACCTCTGAAAAGCTTTGCCTCTCTAAGATGTTCTTTTTATATTCAGTCATGGTACTGACCGGTTGCTAATTAAACTAACTAGTTGCAAAATGTTCCTCCAGCTGTTTCTTTTTAGTACCACTTACTTTTCCAGCCTTTTAAGAGACATGTTGTTGCCATCAAATCCAAAATAGTTTTAGGTACGAAACAAAAAATGATAAACATTCTTCATTGCTGTAACTGATATGTGTTCTAAGTACAACTAGACAGCGTCTTACTAAAAGAGTCTTTTACCAAGGTACAATATAATATAAGATCTGCCCAACAGTGGGGCACTGTTCTGCATGTGAAATTGTTATTTGTCTAAAGAGCTTGGAAAGAAAAGTGTCTGACCTCTTTACCTCTTTAAGTTGCTTGAAGACGTTTCACTTCTCATCCGAGAAGCTTCTTTAATTATTCAGACACCAACTAGGGAGGATCAGAAAGACAAACGCAACAACATTGTCATCCCCCATGTTGCCGGTTTATCAGAAAAACTCAGGAGAGTCTTCTTCAAGCATGACATCCCAGTGTACTTCAGACCCAGCCACACACTCAGACAAAACTGGTTCATCCCAAACTCCTAAACACAAACTTAGCAACGTAGTGTTTGCTGTACAGTGTAGCGAGGAATGCTCAAACCTCTACATTGGAGAGAC